GAAAACATACATTTCTGCGCAGATGCAGTGAAAACAGCGCATCTAGTGGGCTGAGCGGGAGAAAGCAGGCGACGACGTTTCTCTTCATTCGAAATCTCCAAATCGCATTCTTCAACTGTCTCCAAAACTCTGTTCCGCTTAGGAAACTGAAAAATTTATGTCAAACAACAAGACTTAAGCGAAAGCAGAACACCTGGCCCAAACTTAGACCAATACAAAGCTCTTAAGTAGAAAAAAAAAGATAGTAGGACCTCCTTTGTGTCCAATAATTGTGAGCTCGGCGGGACCTTCACAAGAGGTTCCTGCGAGAAAACGCATGTTATTCATTTGAGATAAAGAATGAAAAGAAAAGGACTCTTATGGTTATCGGAAGAGGAATGAAGAAACGACCCTTCCCGGTGGACAAGAACTTGCAAGAGTAATCATTCGAAAGCTTAGATCGCTGGCTAGTGCGCTACGTGCTTCTTTCTAAGAGAAGCTTTTTTATGGAGATGCACTATTCAAAATAGAATCATGTTTTACATCGACTGCGCCCTACAACAAAACCAAGTTGCTAAACTGAAAAAAGAACTGTACCTCCTTTTTCTCGGATAACTCACAGCTCGGCGTGACCTTCACTACAGGCTCCTGCAAAGATATGCAAATTAGTTTCTCGAAACAAAGAACGAAAGAAATGATTATCAATGTGGAAAATCGTTTAACAAGACATGTAATGTGTACCACTGTCACATCCATTGGTGCATCATAGCACTCGTCAAGCATTTGTATGTCGGCAATCATAGTCGCTCTCGCTTCCTCCAAAGAGGGGGCAATATAGGAGTCGCTGGGACGATCGACAAGTTCATTTCGGATCATTACACGCTCTTAAACAATTTTCTAACTGAAGAAAAAAGTAATAAGAGCAAATCTGTTGACATGACTTTAATACGAATGAAGAAAATTAGAAACGCATACTATTTGCGCCAAAATTTGCACCAGCAAATGGACCACGAGCGTCCGCAGTGTTGTGTTGAAGATTTGCCAATGACGAACGACGACGAGCTATACAAGAGGATCAAGTTAAATTCAAGATGCTTCAGGATTTACGACAAAGTTTATTACAAATCAAAAGAGTCAAGTTCAGCATAAGACATCGCTATGTAGACAAGCGACTTTCCCAAACTCAGATTTCATACCTCTTCTTGATCCCGAGTTTTCCAGCTTTGTTAGTGTTCAGCACAGCCACGGTTTCTTGATCATCACCGAAAATCTCTGTGTTAGGGAAATACTGGTCGGCAAGATCCCTGTAAAAAAGTGAATTCCAATTCTTTTATCTTGACACTATTGAGTGCACCAATCAAGTTATTCAAGACTACCTGAAGTGCCCTTCCAATTCGACAATAGGAATATCTTGAAGCCGATGCCTCGCCAAAGATAGAACTTTCGTGAATCCTTTCAAATCACCACTCTGGGCATAAGTTTCCGCCCACATGAGGTGGAACTTCAGTGAGTGCTCGAATCGCCCCTGTTCCTCCACCTTCTCGAATACATTCACTGCACCCAGATTTTTGCTGTATTTCCCCTAAACACAGAGTTTACTCCTGCGATCACTAGGCATTGACAATCACGCACCAGTAGCCTATACAAGCGAAGCATGTCATCTTCGCAGACCAACGAGCCGTCTGCGAGAAAGGCCGTCAGAGCCCTTTTGGTTTTCTCCTTCACGGTAGAAGGCATGTAGATTTCCCATGCCTCTAGGTTCCTGAAATTATCTTTTATTTCTATGAACGTACCTCTAAATAGTGAACTCAGATCACTGGCCTTTCTCCATAAGTCTGTCGCTAAAATTGGAAGAAAAGAAAAAGCCACAAAACAATGACGTTGAATGCAATCCTGTTCCATAAGTTCATACTTTGAACACAGAAGGCATTGAATAAGCGAGTTTCGTTCGCCAAAAACCATGATGTGTTGGCCGTAATTGTCACGATGAAAATTTATGAACTTTGAATTACATTTCAGTTATTAGGTTGGCGAGAAATTGTCCAGAGCTTTTCGTTTTCGTGCAATTTATTTCTTTTTCCAACAAATAAACATATGATTAATCAAAGTATTCCACTTCAACTTCAACCACTTTCTCCAACTTCTCCACACTCGCATGATCCCTCGCTATGACTATACTCAAAATCGTCAGCCAACGCAGACGCCTGAACCGCATTGAAAACAGCCTTCCGGCCAATTTCCTGTGGGCAGTAGACTCCATGCTTCTGCGTCAAATCTCCATTTCCAGCCTTGAATTCATTGAAGCGATAAGAACCGCAGTTCTCGCAACTGCCTCGTCACCACAGGCCTCGTTAATACTACGGAAAGTCCCAGCAGAACTTCAACACAAACGATTCTCATATAGCACCAATAATCGTTTTTGCTCGCAGAAAAATTCCATCTTGAAACTAATGTATAAGTGCTGTATATCAAAATAACCAGGAGAAGTTGTTCAATACGACAGTACAAACAAAAATTGATTGAGTGAAAGATAATCAACAAAAACGAAAGAGTCTGGAAACACTCTTGCTGACCGAATACTTTTACGCAAAGCTTCCCATACTGGACATTGAGGGTTGGAAAGGACAATGTGTAAGATTCAGAAGAGCAGAGTAACTTCATAGATTTGTAATGTTCTAAACTCCCAAAGCAATCTAATATTTCATAACGTCAATTATCGCAGAAACATCTTCGCTTCAATAGAGTTAAGAAAGACACAAATTTGCTGAGAAACCTTTAGAGATCAATAAAACTTATATGTTAGACAGCAATAAAGGAACATTCTATTTTATTTGTTGAACAAGAGTTTTCATAGGAGTGTTTGTAACCGACCAAAAACTTAAATCTCGTGCTAGAGCCTTAAGTAATCAGCTTTTGAAAAGATCTTATTATAACGTAGTACATATCAAATAAAACTGTGTTCCACATCCTTTGCGCTCTTTCATTTTTCTCATACATGTAATCCGCAAGAAGCACAAAAACACCATTTGAACGCGCAGGAAAAATCTCGTAGCATCTTAGTCAATCGTTTTGTAAGAGATTTATTTCAAAGCGGAGAAAAAATCCTCAGTAGAAAACAAGTTACACTCTAACGAGTTAGGGCATCGATCGGTCGCTCTGCCCCCCGATTGGCCGGTAAACAAGCTCGCCGGTTAAGTTAGACTAGATCTCATTTTTCCTGCTACACCGCGTGAAGCGGCCGCTCCAGAAAATAAGCACAGCGTTGGAATCTTCGAAAGTTACGCGACCTAATGATTATATTAGTCTAAAGAAAGAGCTCCGATGGGCGAGGTGTCAAACATAGATGTTTTCCTTTTGTGAAAGCTCTATCAAACGAGCATTTCCAAAAAGCAAGTATATCTCTGACTTCTTCGAGACTTGCGCTATCGAAAGAGTACAAGGAGTCTCAGGGAGGAGTTCTGCCCAATGCGAAACATAAGCGAGATAAGAAAAAAAACGCTTGGTTGTGCAAGACGTAATTTTATTTGGGATTTTACAACGGCGCAAAAGGATATTCAAAAAACCGGCAATGTACAGCTCTAGACAGAGATTCAAGCTTTTGAATGATTACTAACACTCCTATGGAAAACTCTCGGCCAGCGGATGCGGTCGAATATTCATTTATCGCCGTATAACGTATAAGTACTGAGCACTGTTCCAATAGAACTACAAAAAATCACTCACGAACACACCATCCGCAGTCCGTCGATGCTCGGCTTTTGCATCACTTCTCTAAATGGAAGAAATGAGTAGTGAAATAAAGAAGTAGAAGAGAGAGGGAGAGAGAAAGAAAAGAAGAGAAAAAGAAAAAGAAATGAATTGAGTGGTCGGGCAAATGTGCCTCGGTGGTGTAGTGGTTAGAGCACGCGTCCCCGGATAGGATGAAACGCGGGTTCGATTCCCGCCTGAGGCCGTGTTTTTGCTCACCACTCAATTCTTTAAGTTATATGAGTGACATCATAACATTGCGAAAGAAGCAAAAATACTATAATTTTAAAAAGAAATGACTTGGGAAAAGAAAGGAAACATGGTCTATCGAAGTAGCGGACAAACTCACTTCAACAGCAGATTGAACGAGTCCATTGCGCTTCGGAAAGAGAGCGGAACTGGAGAGAACGCCTGATCCTAACGACTGCAAGAGACCGAATGAATAGGCTCAATCGACGAATCACCCCTACAGAGCGATAAAACGCGAGGATAAACCCTTATCGAAAGCACACGTCAAGGGACACACTGAGAAACACCTAAGGACCGCGGATTCAAACGCACGTCACTCCCGCGCAAACCTATTGGCGCTAGAGCATGGGATCTGCTGAGGAGCGCCGTTTAGAATATGGGTGTTGCTCGGATTAACACTGTACACATTGAAGGATAAAGGATAAAGCTTACGACGTCGATCAATCCCTGACGGATGCGTCATGCTTTTGTCTTCAATTTTTATATTATTTGAGATGACTAAATGCATATTTAGTCTTTACAATGACTCGCGGTGGCCTTCCGCTGTATCAAGTCAGAGCTGCTTATCCTCCCAGACAAGCTTGCGACCCGTCTGATGCCAATTTACCAACCCCGGAGGGATGAATGGCCTGGTGAGTCATGAGCGCGAGGTCGAACCATGGACATTGTGTGCGACGCACAGCACCTTTAACCACTGCACCACATGCGCTCTTTTAGACATTAATTCCTACAAATTCTTTGAAGAATTTAGTCCTCGCCTCACGATATTTCTAGCGGAGGTGTGGAGGTATTTGGCTGACTAACGTGCAGTCAACTAAACCTACCAGGCTTTGAATGAAGCGAAAAGTACCAAAACTGTTGTAGCTGTTGTAAATAAACGAATAGTAAATGATAATCTCGTCCTAACTCATCAAGAAAATGCAGTGAGTTAGGCACAGTATTCGGCGCGACTAATCATGATCTTTGCATTAAATACATACGGTCCAAACTTTCTTCTTAAGAGATAGCTCATGGTAGCTAAAATCGACCTCAGACGGGAGTCGAACCAGTGTTTCGCCCATGCCGGGGGCGTATGCTACCATTACACCACAGAAGCACCGTTTCATCACCACTCATTCTTCAAGATCTCTGTCAAAGATATCAGCTGCCACTCTTTAACGGGTTTGGTCGGGTAAGCACATATCGTTTTATAAATCTAGTTAAACTTACGGCCATTATATTTATATGAATCCAAAAATACCTATGTTTTTTACTGCTTTTTCGCAGTGCTGTAATGATTCAAATACGAGTAAGAGATCGTTTATGGGCACTTATACAGTGAAATACACGTGTTTCGGACTTGCAGCTTCGTCAGCTGCACAGTGCCTTTCGTCTAAGCCAATCACTTCAGGGAGTAACCCTTATATAAAGGATTCGTCGACGAACATGTTACACTGCCGCGTGTAAAGTGAAAACTCACTTCACCCACGGCAGATCTCACACCTCATCAAAGGCTAAAAAATGTATTGCCGGATTATACTATTCTAAGCGAGTCTCAGAAAAAAAAAACAGCCGAATATGATGGTATTATTTTCAAAAATACCAACATTGAGGAATCGATTGTTAATCATTAAAATGTCTGGTGATCATATCACTGAACAAGTAGAGATAGATTACCTCTGCCGTGGGTGAAGTGAATTTTCACTTTAAACGCGGCAGTGTAACTTGTTCATTGGCGATTCCTTTATGTAAGGGAGGGTTTTCCACGGAAAGGATTGACTCCGGCAAAAGGCACCGTGCAACTAACGACGCTGAATGGCCGAAACACGTATATTGCCCCGGCTAAATGCCAATAAGAGACCAAACGCATAATCCAAAATTAATATTAGGCATAGTGAAACTTAAGCGTGGTCTTGAGAAACACGGGTGCTTTGGAAACCGGCGACGTTGGGCGGTAGCCTCAGGTCTCAGCTTTCGAATGATTACTACCACTCCCATAAAAAGCTCCTCTCCAGCGAATGAGATTGGTTCTTCATTTGTTTCCCTATTGAAAAAGAACCCGTGTGATATTTCACGACTACCAGCCAAGAGAATCGAGTGTACAACACTGTCTGTTTGGAGATTTTATCATTCGACGGCACATGTAAATAGTACGTCTGCGATTCCGTTATGTAAGGGGGTTCTCCCAAAAAAAAAAAGATCGGCTCAGAAAAAAGGCACTGTGTATAAGTGCCCACAAAAGACCTCATAAAAGACTCTAAAAGCCATTGTCATATGATACTGTTTTCAGCGAGGTCTCAAAAAACAGTCAAATATGAAGGTATTCTACTTAGGAGAATTGAGTGGTAAGCAAAAATTCAACCTCACGCAGGAGTTGAATCATCTTCGTCCATGCCGACAACGCGTGCTACCACTACACCATCGAGGCCACCGCTTACTCACCACTCATTCTTCAAGATCTCTTTATCATAACTATAAGCCACCAACCTTCAACAGGTTTGATCGGGTAAGCAATATCGCTCTATTAACCCACTTAAGCCGAAAGCCATTGTACTTATACAAATCTCGAGTTATTCGGCTTACACTGTAAGTTCGGTGATTAATTTCACTTGACTTACAGTGTAAAATGTTCGTCTTTGATAAGGGAGGGTAGGGTTGCCGAGAGAATTGGCTAAAAGCATTGAAAGACGACGGGTTCTGCCCGACTAACGAGACTGTAAGGTCGAAATACGTGTATTGGGTTAATATGAGCCCATTACCAGACCACATGACGTGTTGGCTCTAATAATAACGAGGGGATCTTCCAAAGTTGAGCGTGATTTCAAAAATAAATAAAACGCTCGAAACAAAGACCTAAATTCAATAACAAAAGTTGCACGCCCACATGTGAGTCGCGCTACAAGGTAGATTAACGGGCTGCGCGGTAAATCAAACGCGTTGCTCGGTAGGTCTGTTCTAATCTTCTTTTGCCTGCTACAGTACGGCAAACCGGTCTTATCGAAAACGAAGCATCGTTTTTGAATTGCTGGATGAGTGTCGAGTGTCGAGTTATTGAAAGTCTAAGAGAGGAGCTCCGTTTTGCGAGCAATAAGTGTGTGTGTGAAACACAAATTCATCTTCTTTGCTACAGCGCTCTTAAAATATTTTTCAGAAGAGAATGTAGAAATATTTCTATTTGGCCGCTTTTAGCGGAAATCTTCATGCTCTCCTCTGTGAAGAAGAAAACCAAAAGGGCTCTAACGGCTTTTCTCGCGAACGACTCATTGGTCTGCGAAAATGACATGCTTCGTTTGTATGGGCTACTGGTGCGTGATTGTCAATGCCTGGTGATCTCAGGAGCAAACTCCGTGCTTATGGGAAATACAGCAAAAACCTGAATGCAGTGAGAGTATTCGAGAGGATGGAAGAACAGGGGCGATTCGAGCACTTGCTGGAGTTCCTTCTCCTCATGTGGGCGGAAAGCTATGCCCAGGGTGGCAATGTGAAAGGATTTGCGAAAGTTCCATCTTTGGCAAGGCATCGGCTTTACGATATTCCTGTAGTCGAAATGGAAGGACAGTTTAGATCATTCCTGATTTCTATTCTCAAATAACCTGATTGGTGCACTCAATAGTGTTGAGAAAAAAAAAATTGGGAGTGACTTCTTTACAAGGATTTGCCCCACCAGTACTTCCCCAATCGAGATTTTCGATGATGACAGAGAAACTGTAGCTGTACTGAACATTAACAAAGGTGGAAACTCGGGATAAAGAAGAGGTATGAAATCTAAGTTTGGGAGAGTTGCTTGCCTACGTAACGATGTTTTATGCTGAACTTGACCCTTATTTGTAATAAACTTCGTCGTAAATCTCGAAGCATCTCAAATTTGACTTGTCTTGTGTAGCCCGTCGTCTTTCATCATTGACGATCTTCAACACAAGGCTGCGAACATTCGTGGCCCAAATGCTGATCCAAATTTCGGCCCAGATAGTGCGGTTTCTTGATTTTCTTTCACTTATGTTGAACTCATATCAACAAATTTGCGCTCAATACTTTATTTTTCTTCGATAGCAAATTGTTCAAGAACGTGCAATGATGCGAAATGAGCCAGTCGATCGTCCCAACGAGTGCTATCTGCCCCGTCATTGGAGGAAGTGAGGGCGACTATGATTGCCGACGTGCACATGCTTGAGAATGATATGACGCATCTATGGATATAGCAGTGGCTCCGCTCACATGTTTTTTTTTCGAAATTTCCACTTCTTTAGTCTTTGGTGGTTCCTTTATGTTATCCGGGAACAAGTGAATAAGCGACCCTTTTTTTCTGGGCGAGAAAATTTCAGTAGATTGTCAGTAATCATTCAAAACTTAAATCTCTGTCAACTGCGCTGCGTGCTCCTCTTTTAAAAAGACCCTTCTATAAAGCTGTAGCATCCAAAGTAAAATTATGTTTCACTCGCGCCGCTCACTTCAACTGTTACTTTGCTGGAAACACGAAAAATATATGGACCTGTAGAAAAAAATCTATTAGTATTAGAGTAATGTTTTGATTAGAGTTCTTCCAAAGCGGAAAAAAATTTCGAATTGAATCACAAAAATCGCACTCCACATGTGTACGCCCACCCCACACACTGGTGAAAATTAATCTTATTTTCCCTGCTACGTTGCAGTGGAACGGTTTTTCCAGAAAATAAGCACAGCGTCGGAGTTGTGGAAGCTTACGCTATGAATAATTACTTATAGTCTCAGAGATCAATTGTGTGCTGCTAGAAATATGTGTGTGTGAAACACAAATGTTTGCTTTCTGCTACAGCGTTATGAAAAGGCTTCTTCATGAAAGAAACGAGTAACGCACTAGCCAGAGATTTGAGCTTGCTAGTGATTGCTGACATTCATATGAAAAGTTTTTGGCCAGAAGGGGTTGTTTCCTCGTCCGTTTTTGTTTGACATATAAGAACCCTTTCCTTTTCATTTTTTTTATCTTAAATAAATAATCTGCGTATTCTTGCAGGAACCTCTAGTGAGTATCCCGTCTAGCTCACAGTTATTGGACACAAAAGAGGTCTGTTGTATTTTTTTCCTCAGAAACTTGGGAATGATCTACATTTGGATTGAGTATTTTACTTTCAATCAAGTCTTCTTGTTTTATACGAAATTTACAGTAATGTAGAGTGATGTGCAATTTTTTTGCGTCTGGCGAGACTCGATTCCACATCTCAATCTATCGGAAGCGCATACTTTCACACGTCGCACTACTCACTACCGTTTTCCTATCACTCTCGCATGCTACATAGTATCTATCTGTCAGCAATGAACCGTCAATGGCTGGCCCAGGAAATTGGTATCAACATTTAACTCAGTCACGCTGACAGATGTTGTGTATGGTGATCGAATCGAATTTTCACTATTGTTTTAGCAGTTATAATGTACTATGGTGTAATGCTGACACACAGATGCGTTGTAGCGTGGAAAGAGTGCTGACAAAACGGGTGCCAGTAGTGTAACGGGTCAGCCCACGTTCTCTCGGATAGAGTGTTTTGTGAGATCGAGTCCCGCTTGACGCAGAAGTTTTGCGCATCACTCCACATCACTGGGTATATTTAGGACTTCATACACCTCCAAAAGCAGCTAAGTATTATTTATTCGACTTGCTTTTTGTTTCGTTGTTTCTAAAATCTACAGTTTTCTAACCGGAGCAGGTTCTGGAGACAGTCGAAGAATGCGATTTGGAGAAATCGTATGAAGAGAAACGTCGTCGTCTGTTTTCTCCTGCTCGACCCAATAGCTACGCTCTTTCCACCACATCTACACAGGACTGTATGTTTTCCAGCCCTTTACTGAAGTGCTGTCCGAGATTTGAAGTTTGAAATATCTAAATTCAAACGTTTTAGAGTTTCACATAGAAAAAGAGCAATATTATAGGGTTTCCTTTTAAATCTTGAATGTTTAGAATTTCTTCGCACTACAATTTTACCGTTTTTTTCAGGTTTTTGCGAAATCTATATCGGTTATTATGT